CTCTTTCTTGTTTATTTCTTGTTCTTCACATAAGCAAAAAATGTCATGCAAATAGGTTTATAGTAACTATTGTACTTGCTTTAACTGGTATGTTCCCTGTAGATCTGGATGAATCAGTCTCACGCACATCTCACACGTGCTTTAGTTTGACTAGGCCCAGCTTACCAGGGACTTGCCACCAGGTTTCCTTTGGCTTATGGGATACTATCACAATCTATTTTATTTAAAGTATTTCCTTGCTTTTCATACCCTTTGTTTCACCAACTAGTAATAATTTTTCCATAGCAATTTAAAATAACTTTAGCGCAACACTCAAGCATCATTGGTCCTGATGAAGAATACTCCCTTCCGTGGGTTTATTATAAGCTCAAACATATTTTGAGGCAAACTTTGACCATCACTAATAAATTATCTATTGTTCTAGTATTTTTTTTAATTATATATCAGAAAATATGCCATTGAGTTCATATATAAAATAAAATGATATATTTATTGCACATAACTCATAAATTATTGGTGCAATTGATGATCAAAACAATTTTTAAACTATGTGAGGCTATGAGGCGCATGTGGTGACTTGGTAGCTCAAAAAATGCCGCATGAGTCTCTCGGATATGCTCTACCTTTTGTGCTCTACCATTGCAAGCACGAACAACATGCACGAAGCAAGAAGCGGGTGCAATGGCACAAACGTGATTACGAACTGAATTTTTTAGTGTTTGGTGATCACCATGGAAGCGAATTCCATGCTTAGCGAACAACAAACGATGGTCCATAGTGCGGATGTATATCTCCATGCCGTTCTAAATAAATAAGTAAAATCCATTTCTTTAAAAGAAATGCATATTTCTAAGAAAGCAATTCTCCGGTCGATGAAGATATTATTTTTAAGTCTTGATAGCAAATACCACTTCCGTACACTAATACAAGATGTTTTTGCAGCTCAAAATTGAAAACATCTTATATATTACTCACTCCGTATACTAATATAAGAGTGTTTAGATACAGAGGGAGTATATGTTTACGTAGTGGTGCTCGATTTCCTTTAGTAGATTGAAGCGAGAAAATGCAGTACTACCGTCAATGCAGTACTATTTTTTCTTGGCATAAAGCGCCTACACAGGCACAGGCGTCTCCGCACAGGACACTCCGTAAACTAATATGGTCGCGCAGAAACTATTGTTGTGTCGCAGCAACAGAGAGATCGATCGATCGATCGATCAAGCTCACGCGCGTGCGATGAGGAGGAGCGGGCATCACATTCACATGGTCGCCCTCCCGTGGAGCCTGACATGATAGGCGGGTCTCCTATAAACTGGCTACTACGAGTATACCGTCGGTGTCACTTTTTTTGAAAACAGGTCAAAAGACGCAAGCCCCCCGTAGAAACCCGCGCGCGACAACGGCCACTCGCTCGCTCGCTCAAGGTCCAGACGACGGAGGTGACAGCCGGGCTAACATCCATTTCTGCGCTTACGCCGGCCATGGGGACTGGCTGTCCCATGCTTACTTTCCGAGGCTTGCTGGAGAAAAGTTTTTTTGGGCCCCCAGGAAACTCCAAAAGAGGCTGGCTGGCAGTTCATCAAGACGCGATCTTGACTGGTGAGAGGTGACACGGCTACGGATGAGAGCCGAGCCGAGTCGACCTGGCCCCGCGAGAGGAGAGGCTTTCGGACGTACGGAGCGAGCGAAGCGACGGGAGAGGTGTGTGGTGCTTGTTGCTGGCCGCGGTGAGGGACCGGTAGAGAGAGCAACGTCTGCCGGCACGTCCCTGTTTTGTTCTGGCCTCGGCCCGGTGTGAGCTCCCCGTCATATCGGTGTGAGAGTGAGTCATGGAGTTTGCGGCCCCGTGCAACCAAGTACTAGGAGTATGTGATTTGGCAGGCAGATTGAATCAACCGCTAGAGGAAGGTGAATCGTGTGGAGCATTGCTGACCGCGTTTGCCAAGCGGTGAATTCCATATTTCTTTCTTTTTTCGCGGGGGAAAGCGGTGGATTTCATCCCGCACAAAAAGATACTAGTTTCAAACCTTATTTCTTTACTTGTAGTAGATTTACTTTATTAAACTACTCCGTACTACTCAAAGTTAACAATACACTGACGTACTACGTACTACTGCGAAGTAGTACGAGCTCTCAAGAGTGTCGTTTATTGGGACCAAATCTGGGCACATGCACGCATATCAGCACATGGAAGGGAGCATCCGCCGCATGCATCGGGATGCCGGGCGGGATCTGTGGTGTTGCAAAGTCCTTCCGTACCAACGCATGTACTACGTGTGTTAGATGGATGGACGCATCCTCGTTTATTTTTACAGTTAAACTCAACAACTCTTGTTAAACCAAGTCACCCAGCCGCAGGCATGCTAGGCCAAGTCACGTGAATTGTACGGTTTGGAAAAATCACGACTGATTTTGCGCGCAGCATGCAAATTCTTCACGAACGCACCTCCGAACACACACACACACACACACACACACACACACACACACACACACACACATTTACATGTATATATATAGAAAGAGAGAGCGCGCTTACATTTCCAGGCCAGAGCACTTGAATCGACACACGCATGCGTACGCGCCTGCCCGCCGATTATTTGCTCTCGCCGCGCGGCCTAAAGATCCGGCTAGGGAAAGGATCAATGGCTTGTAGCTTGTACAAGAGATCCCAGGAAGAATTTGAGCAGTTTTGATCTGGAGCACGTGGAGCTCTTCTTGGCCATCCACTGCCGTGCTAGCTAGGTGGAGAGGTGGTATGGATGATGGGAGAGGGAGCGCATGTAAATAGGCCGCCGAGAGCCACGCGGGCACTGCATAAGGCTAGTCATAGTGGGAATAACTTAGCTAGTAACGACATGTGATGATGACATCTAGTTAATGAGAAGAGTGGTGTTTGGAGTAACATATTATGTTACCATTACATATCGCTTTTCAAAAAATGTTGAGTCTATAAGCTAATAAATGCAACCTTATATGATACTACTTTTATGACACTTTGCACTATGAAGGTAGTAACATAGACTAGTGTCATATGCAGACACTAGTCTAAGTTACTCCCCACTATGACCAGTCTAAGAGCATCTAAATCCCTATCCCTCGAACCGTACTCAAACGTCTGAACGGACGGACCGATTAAAATGAGCCGACTCACCCGAGTATCTCAAAATCGGTCTCAAACGTCTAGGCTTTTCGACGCCTTTTATATCTAGTTTAAATGTAGGGCGAATATGAGGCGGCCCGGACGCGTCCGCCACGTCAGTCCAGCGAACCGTCGACCCCAGTCTGTCCCCACAAAAATCCTGATCCGGAAATCCTACACACACTTTGCTCCACTCACGCTTCGTCTCTTCTCCTCCCCTTCTCTGATTTGATATAATCCAATCTCCGGCGAGCATGTCGAGCTCCGCAGCCACTCCGACAACTTCGTCGATGACAAGGACAAGCTGGCCCTCCGCATTACAATGGAGCGGCCA